CCCCAACACCCCAAAACCCCAAAACCCCAAAACCCCAAAACCCCACAAGATAGATTGAATAGATTATAAGAGTATTAATTAAAAGATTAGATATGAAAAATTCATTAAAGATTCGAAACATTTATCTATTGCGATTTTCATGATATAATAAACTGTCATTGCTGATAGTTACTGTTAATTTATTGAAATTACTAGCTCATTACTGCTTTTTATCATTAGGATTAAGAAATTCTACCTTTTTGCTAGAATTTGAAGAAGAGATTTGTAATGAGTTTTATTATTTATCTTCCATCGATGATCTAATCATATTCTAGCTTTAGATATAAATCTATTCTTAATGACCATCATCTTTTTCTTCTTCATTATCTATTTTAGCATTTGAATTTCTATAATTCAGCTTAGCTTAAGGATCTAGAATCTATACTGATATTCTACTATGCTGTTTCCATTTCTTCTTTTTATCTCTTTTTCGTTCATCATCATCGTCCAAATTAACCATAATATCGTATTTAGACTTTGATAATTTTTTTTAAGCCTTTCCAGAGTTAGGTAGATGAGATTACTTAGTGAGTCTTTCATTAAGTATGTCTATAGTACTTGCTTTGATGATTCTAGCCTAGGAACCCAGATGTTTCCTCTCTAAGAGAAAGAATTTTTGATTTGATCCTTCAACTTTCAATTATTTTTATTCTGTGTCTATGCTTAAAAATAAGCTTGTTCCAACTACTGGATTAAAAGAACCTTGATACCAAAAATGCTTCTAATTTTTATCTAATTTCATACTAATCATTGGGATAAGCATTTGGTTCTTCTTCACTTATTACATCTCAATATTTTCATCACTAATTCTGCCATTTGGTAATTGAATTTAATGGCTGAATGATTTCCCAACAAAAATATCATTCAACTGAAATTTCACATCAGCCAACTAATCATCTTCTGAGTAATCATTTCTTTTTTTGCTGAAATGCGCATCCTTCTAAGTTTTGAGTTTAGAACTCAGTTCATTGATCTTTGTGTAATCTAGAACGAAAGTCTAAGTTTCAACATCCTCCCATTCATCAGACTTATCTTAATCAATTTGATTGCTTTCTTAGGCTTCTTTTTAAACAACATCATTCATTTTTTAAGCATCTCTTTCAAATCGGATTTGATTAGGGATTATAGCGTGATTTTAAGTTTGCATAGAGCTGATGGCGATCATCTCACTTTTTACCCCTAGAACTTCAAGTCCATTAGATTGATTACCATTTCTTTGATGGTAGATAGTGGAAGTATCTATCTAAACAAATTAGTTTGATTAGACTCCATGTTCTGAATTATAAAATATTTGTTATTTGTTTTTGTGTTCTTGCATATTATTAAATAGATCGCAGGTTCAATTCCTATAAGACACCACTCATTTAAAAATAAATTTAACCCAATTAAAACATTGTTCATAATTTAATCTTTAATAAATACTAGTCAAAAGCTATTAGGTTAGTCTATAATCATATTCATAAGTCACTCTTGGAACTCATTCCACTTATCAATTAGTCAATTTTTCTTTCAACCTTTGACTGTCTCTCCTCAGCAATAATAGTCTGTTTTTCTAAAGATTACATCCAACTTACGATCTCTTCGTTTTCTTTTCCGATTAAGTCAAATAAATTGAAAACTTGATACACATTCAAAGCAATCATGCTCATATCTTCATTAAACCTCGCTAAATTTTCAAGACCTTATTCAGCATCAGCATCACCTAGAGTTTCATCTTGCTCGATTATTTCTTATATTGTTGGAACATTAATGTTAGGGTTGTTAAAAACTGAAAAATTATCATTCTTTTTCTTTTCATAGGATTCCATAGTTGAAACCTTATTCTTATTCTTAAATGCCTTCTTAAGTTCTTCCACTTGTCTTTATCTCATAAAATTTTCTTCGAAGTTATCAGTGAAATTTCTTTGATCATTATTTTACATTAGATTATTTTCAAGTCTGTGACTATTATTGTTCTAAGTCAGCACTTGAGTTTAGCTTTAAAGTAAACTTGAGACATTTTTGGTGAAATCAGGGGCCGAGTCTACATTCGATAGCACATTATTGAGTCTCTACTTCTTTTTAAAGAGGAAGTCCTAAGATTTCTTTTTAGAGTTACTTCTTTAGAGCTTCTTTCTATCATTATCAGTTAGCTCAGGTATTGATGATTTATAATCTTCTACCTTTTACTCAAGCATCTGTGGTCTCTACCCATTACCGTCAGATGATGGTCTTATAGGATTGCTTCCTTTTTCTATGATGAGTTAAACAAACTTAAGTTTTACTTCTAATTTAGGTATCTTATTCATTGGCAACTTAATCCAAACGAGAGAAATCTATCTTAATATCAGGTTCTTTTTCTCTATCATGCTCGTCATCCATAAAACTATCTTCCATTTTTGATTTCCTACTTTGCATGCCCTATTAGTAATTTATCTATTAATAAAAGTTACAAATTTTTATTTCATAGCTTCTTTTAAGAAATTCGAACCCTTATTCATTTATCCGTATACTGGCTAAACTTTTGATGCCGCTTCTTTACCTTTTTGATGTGCTTCTTTTTTCTTCAAGGCCTGCTCGTAAATGATCTTCTTCATATCATCGTGCTGATCTATTAGCTTTTCTAAATCATCTTTGTGTAGAGCATAAAATAAGCAATCAGTCTGAGCTACTGCCTTCCCATCTCTTGTTTCTTTAAACAAAACTATAATAAATTGACAATCCAAATTAATTACCTTCAGGATCTCCAAAATGTTAACCCTCCTGATATGAAGCAAATGGAAATCCATTCTCAGCATAAAGTCTTATCTTTCCTGACTTGATGTAATATATTTCTTCAGCAAAATCTCCCTCTTAGTAAACTTCATCATCTTTATCTACCTTGATTTTCCTAAGCATCTGTACCATAGCCCAAACAAATTCATTATTTTCACACTCTCTCAAAAAATCAATCGCATCAAGAAGACCTTAATATTTGTGAATGAAAACTTCGTCTCTAAGTGTGATAGGTAATTCTTAAAGTAGTTAATTTTCATCAATTCTGCTAAATAACTCATTATAGTTATTTTCTAAGAATTATCTAATTTTAAAATGTAATTCTTCAGGAAGATTTGTCTTTTTAGCGAATTCCTCTAATGCTTTAAGCTTATTCTATAAACTGTTTAAAATAGCTTTAAACTTACGTAGAGATTCTCTGAGTTAGCATTTTCATTAGCAATAATTGAAGTCAAGTTACCAATAACAAAAGAGTAAAAGCCTACGCCAAAGATCATCCATACAATACAAAGAAAAAGCTCAGATACAGTTCTTGCCCCAAAGTCTCCAAATCCTACAGTGGCCACAGTCTGTAAAGACCAATATAAGCATTCTAGATAGAGAGTTGATGGTTCCTCATCTATGAGCTTTAATCTTGAGACCCAAGTTTCAGGATTGGTGTCATCAAATTTTGCAGCTAGGAACCAAAAGCATGATATCAAATGCACTGAAAAGAATGCAAATACTAGAGTGAATATCATACGACTAACCGCAGCATTCATTTTAATCTTATCGAAAATACGTTATAATGTCTAATTATACCGAAGGATCTTTACAATTTTAAATAGTCTTAAGATTCTTAGCAATCTGTAAAGTCTAGGCAATCTAGCTAATCTCAACAGCTTGTTATAGTTAGAGCTACTTTACTTCTAAGTGGCGACTTAAGTTGTTCCAGTTGATGGATCTCCAGTTGTAGTAGTTGATGAAGAGGAATCTCCAGAACTCTCTAAAAATTGAGTTGGGAATGTTGCACAAAGATCCAAAATAAACCAAGATTTAATGTAAGCCAAAGATATAGATTTTAATCTAGGATCGATTGTTCCATCTGGGAGTTCAAGGGCACTATCAAAATTAACAAGAATGTCAATGAAGAATAAAATATCCACCAAGTACTCAAAGACTAAGAAAGCTCCACTAGATTACTCATCTATAAAACAGATTCTGTAAGGCATGTATGTTGCTGTATAAAGTAATAGGAATATGATAATAAGATTCCATATCAGTTTAAATCTACTTTGAGGCATAATAATAAGTGGACAAGACTTCTCTATTAAAATAGCTTCATCCTGCTTCTTTTTATTATTCACGAGTAGTTATCTACCAAACAGTTATATTTTGGTTCTTAACCCTTCAAATGTCCTTAAAATTACTGCAGCTCCTTTTGCTTTAGAAAAAGCTTTATGCCATAATTCTATTATTCTCTATTCTTTTTCATATCGAGACCTTAAAATATGCTGAGTGAAAATGTTCAAGTTACATTGAATTCAATTTCGGATAGTCCGTATAATCATTTTCATTAGTACGCTCTAGATAGTCGTCCTCCTCCTCAACTCTATAAAGATTTTCTCTCTTGCAGCATTTGAAACAACAAGATACCTTTGTAAAAAAACCTAGAAATTTATGTATTTAAGGACATTGTCTTACCTCTCGACTCTAATTTAGAAGTTGAATCGAAAGCAATCAAATCATCATAGTCAATTTCGATTTTTGCAATAGACTTCTGAATTTTAAGACTTTGACTTTTCTTGATTGCAGCCTACTTCTATTTCTAATTAAATACAACCTTGAATGGATCGTTAAATTAATTAGACTTGCTGGACATCTTTGGGGACACAGGAGGCTTTTTTAAGCCTTCTTATGTCTGAATTAAAATACTGTTCCTTGATTTTTCCTCTCCGAGTTTTTTTATCTATTCGATTCTAGTGAATAAATTGTTGACCTGTTACTACTGTTAATCAGCCTCATTTAAAATTTGATTAGAACTATGATTAAATTTAGAATCTGGAATGACACCTTAAATATCTGATCTCTATTATTAAATTTATCATTAAAATTGGAATAACTTACATCTAATTCTGAGAGCTTTTAATATTAGTCCTACTTCGGCTTCTTAGATTTATGTGATAAATCTTATACTGGCGATAGATTTCTATGCCTTTAACTCATTTTTAATAATTATATTATTTCATTATCTCTTTAAATAGATTATTTATTATTCATTTTCTAAAGCAATTAGTTTGCATGGGGTTTTGGGGTTTTGGGGTTTTGGGG